TATATACTATTTTATTATATCTCTTACTTGCATTTATCAATAATTCTTGAAAAATCGCCGCGCGTTGCACGCCATCTACATTTACATTCTTCGTGAGAATGGCAACAAGTCGTGGTCTTTCTGCACTTGTGTTCTTTCTTCTTTTTTATATAATAATTTATGCAGATTTGGGAGCTGATCTTTGAAGGTGATGTACCTTGAAATTTTGATTTATCAGTCTTCAAGCAATTCTTTACATTTAATGTACAGATACATTGCAAGGTTGCTAAACGACAATATGCACAGTAAAATTTGTTTTGTTCAAATCTATTGTCTTTGCAAGGACAATTATCAATAATATTATTGCACTTTATGCATTTAACAATGGAATATAAATAATTATTCGAATTGGAAAGTAATTCGCGCGTACAAAGGGCAGATTTTTGCGGTTCCTCTTCCGATTTCTTCTGCAGACAAGGCACACGGTCTTTCATATACTTGGCAATCGAGCACAAAGAATCATTTGAATCAGAAGGTAGACCGCATTTACAAAGAATAAGTTTTTGTAATTTTTCGTCTGTTTTTTTCTGCGGGCAAGCGACATAAGTTCTTGTTGTATCATTCAGAATATCTTGGGAAACTCTATTTTCATCAACAATATCTTTTGGAGCATCTTCGATTGTGGCAACATCCATTTTAGGCATAATTACATCATTCACTTTTATTTCTTTCGTAACTTCCACAGGACTATGTTCCTGCAAAGTTACTTTTTCTTCTGAGAGTTTCTCTTGGTCGACATGAGTTGTAATTTTTTCAGCAGGAACAGATAGTACTTCGGACTGTCGGGGTTTAGAATCAGTTGTTACTACAATTGGTAGAACATGCGATCTCTTCGCTGCGATGACACGTAGTAATTTAGGCATTGTCTGATCTGTTCTTTGAATATCCATCTTCTTTCCTTTTTCAAGAATTATCGGTTACTAGCGTAATTGGTTTTAGTTTCACAAAAATGTTTTTAATAATTTCTACGAATAAAATTAACGTAATACCGCATCAAATTAGTTAACAATAATTTGTATCCATATCAAACAAATGGTATATTATATTATAATGTAATATTTATATTTTAATTTAAATAAATATTGCAGAAAATTTACGGAAATAATTCTGAAAGCTTTATATAATTAATCTTTACAAGACAAGAAAACTATTATAATGACACTAAAATAGTGTCATATTTTAAAGTAAGCAATACAATGAAAAAAAAATTATAATAAATCTTATCTCAAGAAAAGTTGTAAGGTTTCAAAAATAGATCCTCCTGTCTAAAGATTAAGGTAAAATGAATTAATTTATAATATATGTACCTTTATCTGCAATCTCTGTTTGTAGTGGTTTCATTGATATAGGCACTTTTTTAATAATCTCTCGCTGGTCTTTTGTACCATTGATTTTATCCTCTATTTCCGAAGCAATTTCTGATTGTTCAACATCTCTTTCACCATCAGCAATTGTTTCCTTTGCTTCAATTTTTCCTATTTCTATTCTGTCTGTGATAAATGTCTTACGTCTAATTACATCGATTAATTTTTTAAATTGTCGATGTAAAAGTGACTCTCCCTGTTTGTCATCAATCGTTTTCATTTCTTTTGAAATATCTTGCCTTTCTTCTTTTTCTTCCGAATTTCCTAACGTTTTTTCTTCCTGTTGATTATTTTTATTTGATATCAAATTTTGTGTAGGATTATTCGATTGTTGAAAGTGATTCCTCATTGATCGATTAAGCGATTGCATTCTTTGTTGATTAATACGAAATTTCGATGTTTTCTCTACACTGAAATTAGATACAAGATTCGAGCGATTATAAAACTGCGCGCGTGGTAATGTAGAATAAACATTTTTTGACAATGGTTTAGAGTCTTTAATTGATTCATTGGGAGTACGAGGAACATTTTTCGATCGATTATTCATCATTTTATTTATTTGCTCATCTTGCTCTACATTAATAGATTGTTGTTCCATAAAACTATTGAGAGCAATATCATGCTTATTATTTGGTTTTACCATTCTTTTATTGCCAGCATTCTTTTCCGGACTATTTAAGTTCGAGCTAGTTGTACTTTCTTCCACAAGTTTATCTTTTACATCGTTTAGGGATACTCTGTTAACATCGTCTTGGTTGGCAAAGTTTGAATCGAGAATCTCCTTACAAATTGTTTCCTTTGGGTTATCTTTGGAGTCAGAACGCTCCGCCTTGTAAACTATTTCTTCTTCCGGGAGTCTATTCGGTTCTCCAAACGCTGTCTTGCGAACTGTGATATCTTCCGGAAGCTCTTCAGTAACGAATTCCTGGCAGACTCTTGTTACTTTCGGAGGTTCGACCGAATTTCCAAATCTTGTTTTATATACACTAGTGTCCTTCAAATGTTCCTCTTTCTTCTTACACGTTCGTAATTTTTCAAAACGTTTCTCATCGCCACATGACGTTTCGCATACAGTTACACTTTCGATTAATTTTCTAGGTGATCGGCAAATAGATATTTTTTCTAGACTCTCTGCGACATTGCACACATTTTGAGGAAGCTCTTTCTTGTCTTTCTTAATGTCCTTGCAATAATTTTCATCCTCCTCCGCAATACAACTACACGTGGACCATCGTCGAGCTATTACCTCCCTTTGGCAACTTCCGAGAGGTTGTTGCAAGCGTTTATATCCTGTCTGCCTCTTCCGTATATCTTTGTGATTTATTGATGAATCCTGGAATATTTTATTTCGATATTTACAACCGTCTGCGAAATACTCTCTAGGTTCCTCGCCGAATGCGCACTTCTTATAGATCGATTTCGGTAACCACCTGCTACCATCGACCGCATGACACATGGTGCATTCGCTATCGTTTCCGCGAACATTATTATTGCGATCGTTATTTTTGCGATAATTCCTTTGTTCCACACCGGTACAAATCGCTCTTGACAGGAAGACACCATTGTCGTCTAGCCTGGCTTTTGGTTCTGAAGGATACGTGGTCATCCAAGACTCTGGATGTTTGGTATTGTTACACGCGCTGAAACTTGAACATGGAACCGTTAAGTATGACGAGTCCTGTTGAAGATCTATGTTATCCGTATCTTTGCAGTAGTAATCGTCTTTGGTTGATGAGGTAGCGTCTTTGCATCGGACGTTCTCGTTATTGACTTTGACATCTGTTTCTTCCTTGCTGTTGGCTTCGCTCAATTCCTTCCTGCTGATCCTGTGCTGTAATGTTCCGTTATCGTGAACGACGTTATCATCACTTTTCTCATGAATAAAATTAGGCAACTGCTGCACTAGCAATTTCTTCTGTTTCTCTTTTATGCTGTTTATGAGCTTACATGATGACGCACTGCTAGCGCTAGCGCTTCTCGAATTGGGTTCGGTAATTGTATTAGAGCTTGTATCCGTGTAAGGAGGTCTTGATTTTTTTCTTCCCTTTTCGAACACAACCGGTTATAATTAGACATTATATATTAATAATTAGATAAATTAATAATTATTTCTAATTTATATTATATCAGTGAAGTAATCATAGTACGATAATTATATGAGCATAATAACAAAATAATTAATTCCATCATTAATATTTATTAGCTTTCACTTTTTTCATAGTACCATCATCCATATTGGATTATTAATATAAACACTTAAATTATTTATAATTATACATAACGTATTCATAATGGTAAACATAATATAAATGTGTTTTTAGACAAAATATTAATCCATTAATGTATTTTGAAATCTGAATTTTACGTTTTATATTGGATAAAAAGGATTATTTGATAAACTTACCTGGTTACTGTCATTAGTCTCTGAGCAAATATAGATATTGACATTCCCGGTCATTCTGCGATTATCGGTATTTACATTATTCGCTGATTTCGAATGCTTTTTGCTCTTTCTTTCACCGTTAACTTTATTTTGTACTGGTAATGGTATTGCGTTCTCGTACATTTTTTTGCACATATACGAACTGTCATGCGTGGATAATTTATCACGCTGCCGTGAAACATGGCATGTAGTTTGTCGATTGGTGCAAACGTTGAGTGATTCCTTGCAATGTTCTTCTAGTGCGCGGGATCGACATGTATCGGATATTCCTTTAGGTTCCTTTGAACAGGGCAAAATCGACTTTTTCTCTTCCTATTTCAAAGAAGTTTATTTATCAAAATTTTATCTCGTTATTTAATTATTTTTCACAAGGAGTAATAAATTACAAAAAACTAGAAATATTTTTGACGTCACTATTTAATCTACTGTTGTTTAGTTTTATATTTTTATAAAAAATATAAATATCTAGATAAAAATTCTAAGGATATGTTGTGGATACTTGCATCTTATAGGTACCATTGAAGTTTTCACGAGGGTTTTCATAGCATCTTTAATAGAATTATTGATCTGTTTAAGGGAATCGTTTATTTCTTTGTTGATCATCTCACTACTGAGCCTTGTTGGACTGATACCTTTATCGTGCGCGAGTAGCTTCTTTTTCGCCAATATATCCATGCAAATCTCTCGCTTGATCCTTTTCTCTCCGCACGTTTCCGAAGTGCACGCGCAATTCGCCTCCGGCATTCTGTTATCATTTTCCGCCTTATTTTCCGGCTCTTGTTCTTTCATGATATTCTCTCCCTTCTCTTCGTTCACGCTAAAGCTTCCAGAGTTTCTCTCCTTCCTGCTTTCGGCTGATCGGCGAAGACCGACGTATTGATCCTCAACGGGGAAAACCGATGGTCTTTACGTCGCGAAAGAGGTAAGCTACATTTGCACTGTGCAAAAGTATCTTTTGTGCGGAAAATACCGTGCTCTATCTCTTGAGTCTTTAAATCCTCTGTCGGTTGAGAATCTACTGCTTTTCCTCTCGCTTCGATTTTTAACCCTAATCGTTTCTGCCCGTGTAAGCTTCTTACCCCCCATTATCGTTTCTCGTGACGCATGTTTCCTTCAGCTCTGTTACACAAATATATAATTCACTGTGTGTGTGTTCTTTTTATTTTTTTAAATTCCTAGAAATGCTTACATTCTTTGTCGTAAAACTACAATTTATACTTGAAAATTTGAGTTACTTGGTTAAGTATCACGTCATATTGACACAGTAATGAAAGAAAATGTTGAAAGTTACTTACGAACGTCTTTTATTTTTTTTTTTACGACGATTGTGAACATTATTTATCCTTGTTTAACATTTGATATATAACAGGGATGAAATAATTTCGAGCATTGCGAGTGTCAAGTGAAGCGCACCCTTATGTATTGAATAACTTAATTATTTATTGATAAATTATTGATATGTTAACATTATTGAATTATTAATATAAATTTTTTACTATGTTCCGAAATCTCGTAATTGATTATTCTATAAAAATATTATTCTTAATATTGATATTATTCTTAATATGGATACATAGTTAAAAAATTAACAAATTTGAAGAGCACATTTATTGTTATCTCACACAAAACAAAATTCATTTTTAAGTGTTAAAATCATTTATAAATCGGATAATAATCAGACATACAATTCAAAAATACGGAAAAAGAAAGCTATTCATTTCTAAGGACTTCGATTTCCATTTTATCTTTCTTTTTTGTTTCGATGGTATGTACACACATGAAATCGACCAATACATTATTCACGTAGCTTGTTGATCGCATTTCCGATGGTCACGAGTTTCGGAATCCTTCATGATTTACGAGCGTTCTCAATTTGCCTGTGTGAAAAATATACGATCGTCTTCAAAGGTTTCGCGTTAGTAAATGGATTTTCAAACGGTACAACTTTGACTCATATTCATTCATTGAGCGCGCGTATTAATTAATCGTTTAGTCGTAATAGCATTTAGCACCAACGATAAGAAATCTGTTGTTGCTTTTGATTCTGGTAGTCATTGTACTTGTTTTCAAACTTCAGTGCAGCATGTTATCCAGTTACGCACATAAAGTGAATTATTGCACTCGTATACGTGAATGCGAATAACGCGATTTTTTAATATTATTATCAACTTTATTAAATATTTGGTATGTTGCTTCATAAAGCTACTTGATAAACACTTGATATCGTCAGAGAAGTGATTATTATTTTTTTAATTTGATATTATTCCAAAATAAATTAAGCTTATAAATTCTAAACTTATCAATATCTAAAACTGAGTTAAAATTAGACTTTCAATTATTTATATATTTTAGAAAATTTTTCACAGGCAAAAGCCACCTTAATATTAAAATAATATTTACCACTAACACACTAATTTCAAAACTTCTTTATTATACACTAAAACACATTTATGAGATATCAACATTATTATCTGTGGTTTCATCAGCCGAAGTCGAAACATCAAATCGACGATGTTCGTAGTAACTGCAAATCGATGATAACTCGCTAAACGATTCACTTTGAAATTTTTGAGTTGCATCGTATATTGTAGTACATTCTTCTTCTCTTTCGCGTTTATCACACTTTGGCTGCATATGAACATTAATTATAACACTAATTGTATTTTATTGAAACATAAAGCATTTATATGCATTAAATTCCGGAAGAGCATAAATTAATTTTAAATTGTTTTAGCTTCCATACTGAAAGCCAACATGCAACTGAATTTTCCGTGGTTAACTGCAATTTACGCGTAAATTCACTTTTACCGTCCTAATCCCGGTTAAATTTCTCACGAATAAAGTTTCATTTACCTTAAACTTGTTTACAACTTTCTCAAACTTCGACGTTGTCGTAATTCCTACATGGTCATTTTTGGGAGGAAATAATTGTTTCAGATCATTACATTTGTCTGCGCGCTGAGATAAAGATATTAAAGGCTTGTCGGCTTTCATCACTTTCTTCCGAAACTCTCGCACCACATCTTTGAAAGTTTGCGTTTCTTGATACGGAAGGGTATTCCCCTCGGTCAGTCTTGTGGAGACCTTGGAATGTATTCATATCGAAACTAAGAGATATTCTATATCTTTAACCTTTCATTCTTAAGCGACCACGTTGCTACGTAATTACATTGAGAATACTTTCCGTTTCCAACAATCACGTAGCAACAAAGTATATTAAGATTCAATTAGAAGGGAAATTAATCAAGCTGTATTAGCATATTATTAGATACGACAGAGTTCAAGAATTCTTAGATCATTTTAGATAATAGATAATAAGATCTAGAATAAATTTTGTTACCGAAGTTAATCTGCTAACGCTTTCATGAGCATCGCACATTACAGAAGTACCGTATGCCCACTTCTTCGATTTTGTACTCGAGGGAGAATCCCTCGTACTTCGAAAAGCGCTCAAAGCCGTCCATCTTCTAGCTTCTCGTTCTTGAATTAATCTCATTCTATCGTGTTCTTTCAGCTCTTCTATTAAACCTGGCGCTTGATATGCGGGTAGATATTTCTTCAACATAGGTACTTCTAATCTGGTTTTACGTATATTAACATCGTACTTCTTTTTTATTTGCTGTGATTTCTTTTCTGATAAACTGTAATTTAAAAAACTGATTTTTTTACTCTAAAATTTATTAATATTTTAATATGCAATATTTTATCCAGTTAAATAAATATATATATATGTGTGTGTGTATATGTATCAGGTTTTATTTTTAAAATCTTGCTTTATTTGTAGTATCTTATTTTTGTGAGCTATAATAAATACAAGTAACAGATGAAATTTGAATTGTTTAAATATTTCTATATACAGGATGGGACTATTACCATTTTAAATATATCTTTAAAGATCTATGAGATCCAAGAGGAAGATCTGTGTAATGAAATTGCATGATATAAAGAGAGCTATCATACGGCAATAAATCAATCAATCATGCAAGATGTATCCATTTCAAGTATAAATTGATAAAATCCTCATTTATGGAGAATGTAAAAAAATTCAATGCGAATAAAAAAATTTATATCGCTGAATGATATTCTGATCGCACTCGGCGTTTGCATTGAACATTTAAAAATGTATGCAATAAACTTAAATAACTTAAATAGCTTAAATAAAAGTAAAAGTGAACATGAAAAGCGAATAACTTATGAAGGGAATGAAATTGGGATTCTTGCAATAGTTGTGTGGCTCGAAATCCTCACATTAGTTTGCGACAAACTGAACCAGAAACTGGTGTTAGTCTAAGGAATGTATTCTACATTTCGGATTGTTACAAATTACACCTTTATACCATCTCAACCTTCACGAAGCATTATATGAAATGAATTTTGTGAATTGTATTGAATTTTATTAAGGAGCTCAATATCAAATTCGAAACAATTACTCATTTTTCATACCGTGTTATTTGATAAGACAATAGGTATTTACTAATCACAGGAATGTTAATTTGCATTTCTGGGCAATGTATTCTTATTAGCTAGAGCAGATCAAATATCAGAGGCACTCTAAATATATATAGTGCAATATCGGCTTATATATATAAAGATAAGTCATATATTTTAAGATTATCTTAAGTACAGCCTCAAAATGTTACGAACCGATCATAAAACTGTATTAGTGGCATCTTAAAACATTACTTAAGGCGGTCTTGAAATAAGAACTATGAATACCACTCGTAGCTAACAAAATTATTGGTCCTTATTTTATCGACGAACATCTAAATGGAAACAGCTACGCCACTTTACTTGGGTATATATTGGATCTTTTGTTAGAAAACTTGTCTTTAATCAGACGACGAACAATGTGGTACCAGCACGATGAATGTTCGGCTCATTTTTCATTGGTTATAAGAAATAAATTTAATGAAAAATTTGCAAATCGCTAGAATGGACATGGGAACCGTATAGATCAGCTCATTTACCAGATACAACTGGACTTTTTATGGGACAATAAAAGATATAGTCTATAAAGAAGAATCAACTACCTCAAGATATACAACAACGAATCATTGCAGCCTATGCGTTGATAATTTTTGAAATTATTAAAGACTAAGTTAATCAGTGATCAGAAGAATCCAGTGTTGTATTGATAGTGATGGCCATCACTTTAAACATCTTTTATAAACATTACAAACGTCATTTAATATGCTAATTAATAATAAAATAACAAATAAAATATTACATAATATATATAGAATAAAACGCAAGTTTATCATAAACGATAAAAGGTTTATGATAAACTTTTTATCGTTTTTTAACTTTTAATCTTGTCCAATAATCTTGGGTTATAAGTTCTGAACTTGTTTTGAGCGCCTCTATCATGTATTATTGAAAAAAATATTTTCGAACTTATTTAAAAAATTAAGATGACCTTGATATCTTCAAAGCCTCCACCTCGACAAATTATTATCGCCATATGATAGCCTCCTTCGTGCAATTTTGGTTACGCAAATCTTTTTCTACACTTTATAAATTTGAAGATATTTAAGGTTGTAATAGTTATTGCCCCACTCTGTATATTTTCTATAATATTCCTATTTAATCTATCATATTTCTATTTTCTCTAAGATAGGATAAAATTTCTATATAAACATACTCATTATTATATGAACTCAAAAGTTTCCGTTGATAATCTTGATAGCAAGCTATTTGTTCAGGTGCTGTAAATTGTGGCTGAACATGACAAGACCAGACTTCTGGCTTGTTTGCAGACTTCAGATCGTAGGCATCATCTTTTCTGCTTTGAGTATCTTCCCTGTCGCGAAGATTACACTGAGTTTGACGATCTTCTCTTAATTCAGCTACTGATCTTAACGGAGGAACGACTCTTCTCCGTCTTCGAATGTCGTCAGGACACCAATTTGTGCGACTTACACAAAGAAAGTCTTCCGTGTGTCGTGTACTATCAAATTATTGATCTTAGTAACTTAAATGTAAAATACAACATGAAAATGTCACCTGGGATGTCCATGAATTTGCATATCGCGGCTGTAAATCTTTTCTTGCTTCCTCCTATCATAAAGCTTTTCTTTAATCAGTGTTGGCTTATTGCAATATTTTTGTTTTCTTCGTGGTGAACTACTATCAGGTTCTCTATATATAACATGAAATTATATTCTTATAATAGATTAAGTAAATTAAGTAATTAAATACTTAAGTAATTAAGTAATTTTAAAAAATCTTTTCTTTTATTGCATTTTCTATTTTCGTTACCTCTGTTTACGTTTATATTTTTCGATCCATTTTTCATGTCTTCTTTTTTCTTTTTTCTTTTTCTTTTTCAAGTCAGCTGCTCTGGAAAATTGCGTGTCGATATGCAACATCTTATCACACCTTTTGTATTTTTCAGATTTTTGCAGATCTGTTTGAATACTTTTTTCGGGTACAGATTTTTTAGTTTCATGCGTGGAAACCTGAACACTTTTTTGTTCCATTTCAATATCTTCTTCAAAATTCGCCGACTTTCTATCGTCAATACGTATTTCTGCCGTTCCCGATTGCTTCGTTAATTTTTCCATGGCAGGTTTTTCGCGTCTTTTTACTTGGCACGTGACGCTGTACAGCTCTGAACTAGCCAACGGATCGTACAATCGAGCTTTTTCATTTACTTCCGAAGTTGATGCTATTACTTCTTCTCTGGCTTTTTTTTCTCTAGATAATTCTTCAGTTTGTTTCTTTTTGGCAAAGTATTTTCTCACACCTATTTCTTCTGCAAAATTATTTAACTCCGCAATTGTTTTGCTATTTTTCGCTAACGATCCCCTTCGATTATTTTCGATTAAAGCTTTAGCTCTTTGTTGTTCTATTTCACTATCTATTGATGTTTCTTCCGTAGTGACAATTTCTTCTGCTTTCTTTTCTGAAAATCAGACAAATATACTTGATTGATTATCCTGTTTCTTTGTTTTGTGTATTTTAAAACAGAAGATACTTTGATCTAATCTTTCCCAATCAGTAGTCAACAATTCCGTTTCTGACATTGCGTCTGTTTTAGACATTTTGTTACATTGTTCTGTAACACTCACGTCCGATTGACTTATGCTATCTTTGACATCGCAAGATGTTTGCGACATGCACGAGCAAGGAATCTAAATAAATCCATTTTTTATTAATACAGATAAATATAACATTATAAAAATTGAGAATAATAGAAATATTAAATAATGTGTGAATAAATTACTGCTTATTTTCATCAGATAATAGTTTTAATTTTGTTAAAATATTTTTTAACGATCGACATTAACCAGAGAATTAAAATTTTACAGAAGTAAGTAGAAAACGATAAATATACTTGAGAGTAATCATCACTAGTGACGTTTGATTTGTCTGATTTTTGATTGTCGAATATTCTGGTATCTGGTAAAATATTAACGCGTTCTGTCGGGCGAACACATCCTCGTTTCGATTGCGAATCTATAATCTCATTCACTTCAAAGTACGCCGTATCCTTTGAAATTGGTTGAAGATATCTATAACATGGATTACATTGTATACACAACATTAGCGTTAATATAAAAATATCTATATATATATCGCTTGTTTACTACATAACGACAATTAAAAACAAGCAAAGTTTTTTCAGAAAATAAATATTTTGAATTATTAAAATTTTGTAACGTTAACTTTAAAGTACAATTTTGATATAATAACTGATTATAAAGCAATAAAAGTATATTCTTTTAAAATAATTTTCTTTCTTTTCAGCTCTTTTTTGCAAGCAAGTAAAAAATGACAATTTTTTAGTTGTAGTAAATAAGCGATATTATAGATTTCATATATTTATTGTTTAGTGTTATTTAATTTAAACTATAGTTTTGCTATACCTTGGTAACTTTTTCATCGTAAATTTCTTCTCGTGAGGATGTCTCAGTTTTACATCGTCAGCTCTCATGTGAGAATCTGGTTGGCGGCAGATCGTTCCGCGTCGTGCACGATGCGAATCATAATTTCTGCTGTAAATATTATCCTCGGAATCGTCATGATCTGAGATGATTTGTAAACAATTTACTTGCCGATCGTACGCCTTTAAGAGTGCGTGCTGTTCGTTCTCTTCGTCGGTGGAAGACGAGGAAACGGAGGAAGAGCTCTTATGCTTCGCATCTTTTTTCGTAGTGCGAATTCGTCGATACGTTTGTACGGGCGAGGTAGATTGATTTCCAGAAAGCATCCGTACTATTCTATCTAGGAGAGACGGTTTTCTCATTCGCCATTCGCCGTCGCTGTCGGTCGTCTAAAAGGAAACGAAAATTCACCGTAAATGATCGATACAGAAATTACTGATTAAAAATAAAAAGAAAAAAAAACGCTAGCGAGATATCGATGTTATTTTACCGTTCTTTTACCGAGCCAAGAAATTTTCGTTAGTGCAGCAAGGATTCTTCCTACGCGACTACTTCGTTTTCTTGCTTTGGCAGTACCGTCTTTTAAGAGTAATTCCTTTGAGCCGTCGTCTATCTCAATGTGAATTACCTCTTCCTCATCTAGCTCTTGTGTAGCGCAAGACTCGGTGTCCGCTATTGACGTAGACGAGCTGGAATCGTTCTTGCGCAGGGAAGAGCAGGATTTCCTTTTCAACCTGGTACGAAGCCTCCTACGAGCTCTCACCATGAAACAGGACGTTGGATCCTCGCTGCTCGAAGTAACTTCCTTCGCCAATGGCTCGTTAAAAATCTAAATCGAACATTTTTTCTACTGAGCAGTTCTTGATTATCGGCATCTATTATTGAAGTCAACTTGCTTTTTTATTAGCATAATAAAAAATTGAGCTTTGATTAAAGCTGCTAAAGAAACTGATAATTTATTTACCTACAAATCACGATATCAAGTACTAGATTATAATTTGAAAAGTTTATTTGCATTAAAGTTAATTTCGCAAAAAATTATTTATATATTATACATATACATATATAAATTTTTAATAAAATTTTTTTGTTTATAATGCCTCACTTGAATCGTAACGTCTTCTCTTATTTTTTGCGCTTCGATGTCTTTGAATGGTATTCTCCGATGCTCGACTTCGATCTCTCGTGATCCTTCTTGATAAGCTGACATATGTAATCATTATTTTAACTTACTCGAATTTATTTTTTTACGGATGATTTGTGAAATAAATTGCGTGCATTTGAAGGCATACATTTGTAGTAAAAGTATAATGCGAAACATAAAAGTGATGTACATACTATAACTATAGACCGACTCAGAACTACTTCCACTGGTATCATCGTCCGTTTGGACTGCTACATTCTTCTTTTCAACAACTGTTCTTTCCTCTTTCCTTTCTTCAGATATTCTTTTTTCCAGTATTTTTTCCTCTGGCACTTTTTCTTCCGGTATTATTTCTTCTGGTACTCTTTTTTCCGATATTTCTTCTTCTATTTCTTTTTTTATCTCTACTTCTTCTTTTGGTTTTTCTTCTACAATTGGTTCTTCTTTTTCATCGACATAAGTACTTACTGGCACAGGTTCCTTTCTTGCAATCAATTGATCATCTGATGAATCTCTGACTTGATTAAAAACGAGATAATAAATCAATATTACATAGTTTTAATAATATATTTTAAACTCGAAAAGATGTCAATATTTTTTAAAATTGTAATTAAATTGATATATAATTCTTGTAAAGAATAATTATTTAAAAAAGCAATAAATTATTTTTTAATATTTATAAATATAGGTAAATATAAAAAATGTAAACAAATATTTTTTTTAAAGACGCGATACATTGCTTGTAATATGTTGCATAATACTTTTATTCTCGTATTTTCTAAACTTTCTTGCAACATTTATTATTAGAACTCACCGCTCCTCGCTAATATCCGACAAATCGCCGTACTCGATAGGCGATCGGCAAATCGTGCAGAGATTCTGCAAGTCCGCGAAGCATTGGATGCAGAATAAACCGAGGCAGCCTGGCATGGCGCATTTAATGTGCGGTTCCCGATCGGAACGTTCCACGGAACCGCACAGGAGACACACGTTCTGCTTTTGAGGGAACAATTTGTTCAGGAAAGGGCAAATAGCCAGACATCGTTCTCTGAACGTGACTCTCTCGATTCTCTCGCCCTCAGTCATGCCGAACTTGCGGCGCAACTGGCGTCGTGCAAATTTCAGAAAGCTCCCTCTCGATCTGTGCACTCATTGAATTGAACTCATTAACTAAACGTAGTTTGCAATTTATATAGATTAAACTGAATGATAAATTGCACGATGGGAGACACATCGTTATTTTCATATAATATAATATTCAAGAGAGATTTTTTTAAATATTTTATTTTAATCCTGCCAGATTTTAATACTCAATTAAAAGTGACGAAGCGTACAACGTACTTTTAATGTAATAGACCGACATCAACCCTTAATAGTATTTTATGCAACGACCAACATAAAACTTTGTTAAAAGTACTTTGATATCAATGTGCCGGTTGATTACTTCATTAAATAATTAAAAATACATTACCTAATTATATGATTATACAACCAAGCAGCTCTTTGCTTTGCTCTTTCCGGATAATATTTGCACAACACGACATGCCGCAATCGTAATCCGTACGGTTCGAATATCGCCATAATCCAGCAGAAGGCGATCAACGTCACAATCTGCGTATACCGATCTAAATCTGGAGGGATGGGATCTGGGAGGCAGGGTATCACATCGATCTCTGTATCCTTTGCGTGTGGCGTGAAGGCTTTCACGATGCTTCGATAAAGGTCGGCGAGATAGCCGTCACCAGACACATGGACGCCCACGAAATTGGGTCGTTGGACCTAGATCGATATATACGTTCCGCCATTATATTACCTTCCATCGTGATTATTCTACGCCGCGGTATATATCCGACCGCCGATTGTCGATATTCACCGCCGCACTCCACGCAAATCTCGATAACAAAATTGCGGTTGTAAGCTAACAGAACATTCAATTAACTCAGTCAGCGAAATGTACGTCAATTGTAATTTAATTCTTCAGAAATTCCTATTGCACTGATTATAAATTTTAAAATAAATTAATCAGCAATAGAATAAATTCATGATGCTTGAACTGGAAGATTCACACAAAAATAAATTATTAGATACTAAGACTCATTTTGATCGAATATGACTTTCTTCACTTATTTGTATTAAATATTTCTCAATTAATTTTCACTCACTATTATTAAAAGCTATTTTTTAATTAATTTAAAAGTAGCTTTTCATCGTTACATTTATTGTAAAAGATAATAATTAAATATTATAAAGGATCTAAAAAAAATTCTTGAAGCATAGGTACATTTTTACTTCCTAATCAATATTAGACTCATTAAGATACCTTTGTTTCGATCCGTCCGTGATACCTAATAGTGCTAAGAATCCAATAAAGACTGTAGTCCGCCATCATATGAATGCAGATTTTAAACATCGTTAAGCTCAAAAAAACTGCAGATTTCGCGAGCTTTATTTTTTCTACTTTGATCAGAGTGACGGACGTCAGTGGGATGTATTGATTTCTTTCGCGGCGGTTTAACGGTAAAATGGTTTCCTTATCCTGACGTGTTCTTATTAGATCGATAGTGCGCAGATCATCAGTCAAGTAGCGATTATCGAAGCGATCGCTCGTCAGCCATTTATGCCGATAATGCAAAATCCTTTAGAAAATGTTTTAATATACAAAATTATTTTGGTTGCAAATTATTAAAATGACACTTTACCTTAGCAGCATGAAGAAAATAAAGAAAGTGGTCGTGAAACTCATCCAATCAAATACAGCTAAAAATCTATCGGTCCTCGCTCGTATCTCTGTAATTATACCAGTTGATACGTCTTCGATGGTTTTAGTTTGATTTGTCTCAAAATGGAAAGAATGCGAAAATTTCACTTTAACGTAGAACATCGCTTTTATGTGGCGAGTGAATCTTTTGATCTCTATGTAAGCAAAAGATATTAAATCAGAAAAAAGTACATAAAAGCTTAGCAATATTATGCTGATGGAAAAATTTTTAAATTCATAAATCGTCGTACTTTCATTTATCGACTTTAATGCAAATTTTATTTTTAATATCAAGAGTTCTCTTTTCTTTTTATTTCAAAAGTTATGAAATGTTTTATGCTTACATAATTAAATGTTTTATGAATATTTAAAATTGTAAATAGATTGTATTCCGATAAATTTAAAAATCGTTGACATTTACATGAGTGGAAATTTAAAAAAATTTATTCCAGTATAAAGCTTCCTTTAAAGTTTTTTTATAAAGTCTTTTCTCTTAAAAATCTTTTATACGTTTATAACCTCAACATACTTTCCTGTACAGCGTTAACTATAGTATCGGCGACATAAGATACGAGTATGCAGATGAAGTCTAGAGGTTTCACTACGTAGCACAAAGCACCGACGACGTACGCCAGATTGCAAATCCCTCCGAAAAGGGGACCAAGCTTCGCCTTGCAGTCATCTACCGCACCTTCAAAGACCCTCTGACACCTGTCGAACGGCGTACCCAGCTTCTTGTTGCAAATATTCACAATGCTGCCCAGCCATTGGAAAACCGATGTGATCACTCTTACTGAAAGATACATTTTTAAAGTTACGAAGATCGATTATACGCAAAGCCAATGGAAAAATGTTGACTCACGTATACTTAACACGAGTCGTTTGATAGCCACGAGAGTCCGCTTAATTTTCATCACGACCACCTTTACCGCCTTTATTACCTTCGATATCGCGTCTCTCAAAGCATAGAAGGGTTCTTTTATTAAATCAACTACATTCTTCACGGCTTGCTTTAATTGTTCCTATATGTATATTTTTATCAATTATATTAATAATAACAATTTCAAATAACGATGACAAATCAAAAGACATAATCAATTTTATGAATTCGAGAATGCGTATGCAACAGAAAGATTGCGGAACTGATGGTACGTTTAAGCCATTGTCGGTCAAACAAAAGATCTAACGATGGATAGAACCAAGGATGTGTGGTTTCAAGGATCCGACATTGTGTAAAGATATAAAGACATAAGTGGAATGCGTAAGAGAACTCACCTGTGAGAGCTTACCTGTCCACAGGCTAAAGACTCCGAAAGGACACTAATATTATGCAAGATATTCTTTGCCGGTCCGGTAAGTGTTAGAATAAAGGCATAGGCCATCAAGGCCTGTCTGCCACGTTTAGAAAAGAACTGCGGCAGCAATAGAAACACGATACACCTGTGCGAATGTTCATATAAAGTCATAAAAGAATGTAAAAAGAAGATAAAATTATGAGGTATAATAAAAGTAAAAAATTCCAAGAATTTTGATACTTTTGACTAATTATAATTTTAATAATTTCAATATTCCATGAATCACTCTTGTATTTATATCATTGAAATTTTCATGTAAGGCGAAATTACCTTACGCGATGAGAAAACGCTAAACCGAGTGTGAGAATCATTCCGAGGATCGAGCACAATATCGTTGCGGACGAGAGAGTAAAACTTAGTTGAATCACGAAGAACACGAAAAACATATATGTAAGAAATATGCCGAACAAGAATCCAAAAATACTCTTCAGAATATAATTTTCAAACGAACCGTCTACGCTAAGAAGTCTCATTTTTTTATAAATCCATATATGTTTTAAAGGGGAAATTATTCGATTCCAGAAATGCTTAAACTTCTTTCTGTACCTATAAAAGTGTGATTGTGTGTAATAGCTTAATTACAAAAAAAATAGTAGTACACTAAAATAAAATAAAATATTTATGGTGCATTAAATAAAAAATACCATCACAATTCTGAGAGAGAGAGAGAGAGAAGCACTAATGTATTTTTTAAAGATATATGTATAATGTAATATATAAATGATGAAGTAGAATTTTACGCGTAAAATTAATATCGATCGATAGATTAAACGAGTTAAAAGGAGTTAAATGGCAGGCTCACTTTAATCTCTTTCGTCGGAGACGCTGCTTCAAAGTCAGATGCGGCTTGACACCCTCGGAGATCTCAATCGATCTCAATTTCTCATCTTCGTACCTCAATCTAGCCTTTTCTAGCTTCCTCGCTTGGAGAACTAATTGAAAAAATGCCATGGTCTTAGTCACGTACTTTATTTAATCTTCTGTTCTATTACTGAATGTTTATACGCGTAAACGTTATAAATTATACAACTATCCTAACTAATAAATATCTATGTTAAAAATGTCACTAAATGTCAGGTTCCAGCATAAACTGAAGTTTCTAGCAACTTGCATACGTTCATATTCTGATTCTTCGTTGTTTATGTTTTATCCATTGGTCTGTTTTCTGTTCCTGCACTAGACTGTTCTAGAACTCTCTTTCTCGTTTTAAACAAATATCAAACGTATATCTATCTCACTTTAAGTTCCAAAAGTGTACACTAGTTCAGCCACAAAAAACAGACCCATAGAATGAGCTACTTCTTATGTGCGTTTTTACTGTTATTTATTTAGAATTAATTACTTTTTTAATGCAATTTAATTTTTTTGTTCAATAATTCCTATTTTATATATTTACTATTATAATTATTAATAATTACTAAGCTGATATTTTTTAAATTTTATTCTCTCTCTCTGCCTTAAAATAAAAAATTGGATCAATTATCTCAAGTTTTTATTTCAGTTTTGTGAGAGAATAGACATTTTATGTACGAATAAGATTTTGTCTAGAGATAAATACAATCATGCAGACATTCTGTAACATAGACTGATATATTGGAGCTCCAAGTTCCGTTACCAGCAAATGATCACAGAGGTAGGCGTCGGCAGATGAACAAGCAATGATAAAAGCCACGTGTTACCAGTACTGGTTTATCAAGAATTTTAATCCGAGCAATGATACGTAATGCAGTTTCCGTTTGATTACAAATATTATTTTTTATCGCGCACATGTATGTACGCATAAAAACTGATAATTATTGCAGAGCTTTAAAAATATTAGCAGCCAAGTTCAAATTGCTTGAATTACAATTGTAAAATAAAAGCTGAAGTAAATTTATGCTCGTTATCGCACTTATCATAGAGTTTGCTGCTTTTTAAAGTCTTATCGAGAATATCACAAACGTTTGAAAGAATTTAATATTTTCCCCACATTTGCGATATATTTAAACATTTTACTTTTTTAAAATAACTTTCTGGATGATGTTTCTTTCTGGAGCAAGACTGATGGCTATCCATCGAGTTGCGTTCTCCTTGTTTGCCTGGAACGTTCTCCAAGAGTCCGCTCTACACCGAACGTCGCCAGTGCTGGTCTTCGATTCTTCAAGGAGGATCGCACGATACCGCCAACGAGCGTCAGAGCGAGACATCAATGATACCGCGATGCGGGCTGGTGAAGGTGGGCGTCGAGGTCGTCGGAGAGGGGCGCGCAATCTAAACCCGATAACGAGCCAGCTGGCAGCGGCAGTGCCGTCGTTTACGTGGAGGTACGACCTTCGCGAGAGGTTGCTCTCGCTGGTGGTGCCGGATCGCTCCTTCGAAAGGTCGCAGCCTGTCCTGGGAAATAAATCGCGACTGGTACCACTCGCGGAGAACACGGAAGTGCCCGTTTATCTCGAGGAACACGTCGAAGAGTGGTGAAACGACAGGGACCAAGAAAGAAAAAAAAAAGGAAAAACAAACATGCCGTGAATTTTGTCAGGTGACATCGCGTACGACCCGACGAAGTCGACGGTGTTCATAGCGCGTGCGGCTTTCGATCGCATGCATCCAACGCTGTAGACACTTCGTCGTCGTCGTCGTCGTCGTCGTCGTCGTCATTTTTGCCGCGCGTGTGCATGTGTACAGTGTGTAGAGGTACGCGCGTGTGATCGTGTTGTACCTGACCTGTGGTATACCTCCTGACCCAGCTTCTACCTGATCCAGGTGCCCGACATCTGGACCAATCGCGATGACTACGAGGGAGCTTTATGTTAAGGTATCGCGGGATACTAGTTGGGGGGGGGGGGGGCTTAACGCTGCGCTTCAAGGGGATGTTTCAATTCAGCATGATGCGCGAAGCAGCGTGATCAGAGATTCTCGTCAGATGGTTCTCCATAACTAGAGGCGCGAAGGGATGTTGCTCCATTTTCTTGATTCTGAAGTTGCGGAAGAATTTTGAAGATAAATATATATGAAACGTGCCTTTATTTTCGAGTGCATTAAAAGGGTTGAAATTCAATAAACAATATTCATAGTAATAATTTATAAATCCTTTGAAACTTAATTACTGTTTAAAATTGTACATTGTCATTGTATTTATATATATGTAAAAGTATTGGGTTAAAAATTCAAGGATAACGAAAGAAAGAGTATGTGAGTTAGATGTTTTGTGTTAATATGTAATTACCTTAACTTGACGTTATGTAATATGATAGCCAACGTTTTGATCTTTTAACAACCTGTTATTTTCAATGGTAAAAAAATAAAAATGACACTGTTAATTTCACCAGAATTAAAAAAAAAACAAAAATTTTTTATGTGCATGTATTTATTGCTTTTAAATTCTGATGAAACTAATGGCGTTTTAATATATTAGCATTGTAGATAACCAGTTGTTAAAAGGTCACAACGTTTGTTTTTACACTATGTAACATTAGCTACGTTTACACTGTGCCTTTAATTCGCGACCTGTACAATAGATGTCCTTGTTTATCCTGTAGGTTAAACAAAGGTACACCTATCGTACAGGTAGTAAACGTAGCCATTGATATTAAGTTAAAATAATATATTAATAGCAGAAAAGAAAAAATCTAGCTCGACTTACTGTCCTCTTTTTCATTATTTTTGAATATTTATTTATACGAGAACCTGTATATATTTTTTAAATTAAATTTTATCTGGATTATTACAGTCGTATATAATATCTCGAAGTCTCGCTTGACGTGATTTATCTTTATATCAACCAGGAAACTCCATGGAGTTGAAAATGTCTCGGTTATACAATCAGTGGAAACTGCGGGAACGATGTCTGCCACTGCGAGTTTATGGTTGCGCGTGCGAAACTGTGATCCGACTCCGTTTCTACGCCTTTTGTTAAACATTAACAACGCGCAACACTTTGGCATTTGGAATAAACATATCTTTCTCGCGGTGTCACCGTGTATAACTCGCAATCCAGAAAAGACCCATAATGATTATTTTTTATAAATATCTAGAGAAGCTATACGTAAGTCCCAGTCTTTCAAGATACTAGTCCTCTATTACGCAACTATAAAATCAAATAAGAATTATATAATTATTATTATGTCTACGTTGCTACATTCCCATAAATATATACGTATATCATGAATATGGGTCATCCATTTACATAATATGCATGTCACAGTTTCTATGATACGAGAGACTTAAACTAAAGAGAAAATACTATTTCTCACTGTTATTCTTTTTACTCTCATTTGAATATAACAGACGTCCATTGTATTTAATTATGTAGACTATTATTCTTGTTTCCAAAGAACGTTTTTTTCCTTCTCTTTCCAATATCTTGATAAGAAATACAATCGTTTCCCTGAAACGTTTATTTGAAGATAATCTGATGACTTAGCTATTTTCAGAGATTTTGTTCGATGCAAAGTAAACAAATTCTTAAATCTCGCTGAATATACCTTTAAACTCAGGCTTTGTATAATATCGTGTACGAGAATCAATAACACTAACTTGGTATCCTGTCTAAAGCATTCTGTTTGTCAAGATTGACGAGTTCTGTATGTCCGATTGTATACTTACTTCTTCATGCACTTAATATCTTTTCCCAAAACTGATACTAACAATAATTTATGTCTGTTGCAACTTTTAAAACCGTAATGATCTATTTATAATTAATATATTGTTGCTTTTTACGTAAATCCACGTCTTTTATTTCCCATTTCTTTAAAACAAAGGTATTGATAAGAATTCTCAATTTACAACGTTCGCTACATTTTTATTGACATGTACTGACTGATCGAGCTGCAGAACGCTGACTTGAGCAATAAAAAGTTGTTAAATATTTTACTGTTCGTGCATGCATTAATAAATACGAAAAAATGAAGTATTTCTCAAGCCATCGAGATTTCTTTCCGAAAGTAAAATCAATAACTGCTAGCGAGAGAGCCTCCATTACCAGAGACCTAAATTCTGGTCTAAATCAGGTGGCACGATTATAAAAATAACGGCTTGTGTTTAATTTATCGCGCGATAATATTTCGTTAATAACACGACTGCGATTACATGAAATGCTTTTGAAAAAGAGACTTGCAATATATGGTACAATTAATATTTAATTAAATTATTTTGAGAGATTTAGAATCAGCTAATAAATTATTACTATATGTGAAAAACATAAATTAACAATGAATTAAAGCGATTATGTGAAACAATTAATTCTTTCCGAAAGAGTTATTGCACCACTTTTTGTAACTCAGCTCTCATTAACAGATCGCTAAACAGCCGCACTTCCTACAATGTCTCACATAATCATGAATTATGTTAACCAAAGCTGAAATCTCGGAATGTCCCTAACATGTCACGACCATGTGATAATTACAATTGTACCTTTCAAGATAATTAATTGTTCTTGGGTGATTCTTTAATTATTTGCTAAACGGCGAAAACGAGGACGGATATTTATACGTATAATTTACACGTATAATTTTATTAGTAATGACGGAATAAAATAAGACAGCCGTAAGTTTAAAATTATACGTTTAGAAGTTTATTACAGTGACTGGCTCTCTTTCTCCGGCTTTTCATTTTTTTCCTTTTTCTTTGAATCAGCTGCTCACTCTCTAATGATCAAGTCCTGATCGGTCTTTCTCGAACAATTAAATTTCTAAATATTGTCGAAAAAAAGAAAAATGTTTTTATCGATCGCGCGTTTGAAGAATCATATTCTTCAATAAAGGTGAAGGTCTCGACGTTAATTCGATTTCGTGTTTGTCTCGTGTACATCTTGTCTGAAGTCAAAATAAGAATCTAAGGCCTAGTCTATGTGAATGTCCATGTATGTGTACATGTGTTTCGCAGGGAAGACTGATTTCGTGAATGTAAATTATATATAAACGATGCTATCAATGCGGGTTAACTGTGACAATGGAATCGCTATAGTACCTTTC